TACTTTCTCCTTGTCTGTCTCTGCTCTAAACAAAACTCTGTAAAGGGGAGGAATAGGTCACATTCACCATTTTATACAGAACTCCTAGTACAATGCAGTGCCTGGTACACAGAAGGCTCTCAAAACATTACTGTAGAAGGGGATGTACACTGCATACCTACCCCACGCCAGACACTGGGATATGCTGGACATATACAAGACTCACTTATTTAATCTTGACCACAATCCTAAGAGATGAGTCCTAACCGCTCTTACAGATGAAGAAAGTAAGGTACAGAGAGAGAAAGCATCAGGCCTGGAGTTACCACAGCAGGGAAGCGGTGGAGCAGGGGATTGGAAGTGCATTCATCAAATTCCACAAAAGTGCCATTCCCATCCCCGATACAGTGCCTCTAGCACTGCAAACCAAGAGAAAATGGGGCTAAGACAAACCAATTTTGTTGAAACTCGCTTTCCCTAGGGAAGGAGGGTGATGACCCTTGGAACCTGAGTCCCTAAAACATGCTTTCAAAGCGGTCAGCTAACAATGTAAATAGCTTCAAGGCCATTGAGGAAATGACAACAGCAATGGTTGCTGACCTCCGTTGAGCTCTTTCCGTGCCAGGCACTGTGCTAGGCACCTGATAAGCATTATCTCACTGGATCCCCCAAAAATTCTATAAGGGAGGTGAGAAAACAGAGGCTCAGGGGTCAGTTACCTCGCCTGAGATCACGTAAGCAGGAAGTAAGGGAGCCAGAATGCAGAGCCCACATTCTAACCACTGCACTGCAGTGCCTCTGTGTAGAGGCAGAGCTTCATTTACAGGCTAACCTGAGCCTCTGTCTGGAACTGTGTCAGTGCTGTCACCTTTCCTTCCTCCTTTCTGACCATTCCCCACCAGGAATGATATAAACTACCTTCCGCAAACATCCCGGTGTCACTCTGAGTCCTGTACACAAAGCGCTGTTTGTGACGCTTGGAAAAGAAGGTCTTCATTTAGCAAATAAGAGAAGCACCATCTACCAGACGTGACCTGGGACCTGCTACCAGACATGGCACTGAAGAGAGGCTGCAGAAACGTCTCCTGAACTAAACTGAGGTCGAGAGAATAAAAGGAAACAGTCACTGTGTAATCTGGCCACGTTTTGGTATTTCCTAGCTGCCAGCTAACATGATCATTCTCTCCAAGAAGAAAGTAGGTCTATGCCAATACCCTTGGCTATCTGCTAACTTACCACTAGACTCAAATTAATGTTTGCTTAAATGAGAGACAGAATATAAAAAGGCAGGAGAAGGGATAAGAATGATGATGAGTATAAACTTGTCACTTTAGGAGGCAGGCAGACTCTTTAAGGTGACCAGGTTACCATTTAACAAGTAGCAAGGGCACCCTGTAAGAGCATGAAGACTAGAATTAGGTCTTTCCCCAAAATAACCTTTTTTCAAATGAGAACACTAGGTTATAATTTATATTTCTTTTTGTGTAACAAATTGGAGTGTCACAAAAATGGTTAAAAAGTCTTCCTATGGTAGCTTTTTCTAAACTTTTATGAACATCTGCCACATTCATTTGAAGTTTAAAAAATTCTGGCACATATGCAAAGGCATAATAAGGTGCCTATAGCTTTCAAGAAAAAATAACAAGACAGTCAAAAATAAGCCTTTTGCTGAGTTGCCAGTAAGAAAACTAGTGTGTGAGAGGAGATGGGCCTTCCTGAGCTCCTTCCTTAAAGAGCTTTCCTTTGGGCCCAGGTACGAGCTCCTCCCCAAGCATTCTAGTCCATAGTTCCTAGAAAAACTCTCAAGGGAAGCATCTCTCCCATCTGAAGAGTATAATAGAACCAGACAAACCCAATCAAAAAGCATGACTAGAGCACTCCGAGTCTGAGCTGAAATCCATGGGAGGAGACTAGGAGTCTAAATTTCAAGATTTGATAGTTCACTACTGCCCAATACTCCCAGGAAATGCTACTTTGTTTGGAAAGTGTCTTAGCTGGCGTCAAGAGTGGGGTGACTGCTATTTTTGTTTTTTGTTTTTTAGTGCTGACCACACAGGAGTTCAGCACGGCAAGCCCCTCCCCAACTGAGTCAATCAACAGGGCTAAGATTTATCTCGGCCAGTGCTTCCCAAACATTCTCACTTAAAGCCCTTCAAAGGCTGAGCAGAGTGGACTTGCCCCATTCACCTAAGTGCAAAACTCTGTGTCAAGTTTTAACTTCAAAATTTATGCATATTTTACATTGCATGTTTTACTAACCAAAGGCCTTATTTTCAACTACTTACAATTATATAAAAAGTAAAAAAAAATTACTCCATCTTTAAGTAAAATTATGGTGCTGGGCTTCCTGAAAACAGTGATGCCTACCAGAGGGCTCTAAATGTGTCCTGAATTCCAGCCTTCCAAGTGTTCCTCAGTCCTTCTTTTCAGAAAGCATCTGCTTGGCGCCCTGCTAGGTGCTGAGGACACCACAGTGAATGAAGCATAGTCCTTGTTTCCAAAGAACTCACGCTCCAAGGGATGATGGAGAGAAACAGGGAAGCAAACAGCTATCATCCAGAGCAAGAGGTACAGTAAGTGAAAGGTGACGACAAAAATGGGAGGACTTCTTGGAAGAGCTGGAGAAGGGCAGGGCTCAGCCATGCAGAGGAGCAGGAATGTGGGTATGTGTGGGGATCAGCGAGAGCACTGGCTAACAGCGGACAGTGAGAGGACGGAGGCTTGACAGCAGTGGAGAGACTGAGCAGAACTCGGGGCAATGCAGAGGAAGACTGGAAGGCAGGCTACTGAAGGTAGAGTGAGCCGGTAGGAGGCAACCCCCTAAATGCTGGGACTATGGACTGAATTTTATATTCATCTGCATACCTCCAGGATCTAGCAAAACATTTGGAACATAAGAGACCTTCATTTTGCTGATCAAAAGCATGAATAAGGCTTTGCAGGAATCCAAGAAAGCAAAGAAAAACGTCAAAGAAGGCAGTGAGGAAGCAACAGGGCGAGAGACATATCAGAGACGTGGTGACTTTAGAGAGGAAGACCGAGGAAGAGGAGCACTCAGCCATGCTCAGTGTGTCCCATGTTGGTGCCCGTACAGGCACTGGTGCCACTCACAGGAACCGGGAGTGGAGCAGCTCGGTGTGCGTGTGTGCGCGTGTGTGTAGATAATTGTTTGGGGATGACTGAGTTTGCAACATCTGTAGTACATCTAGGTGAAGTTCAATTGGCACTTGAAACATTGGAGTTCAGAGAGAGGCATGCCAGTGTTAGAATCACAGCTGAGAGTCACGGACACTGCCTTGGTAGCTGAAGCAAAAAGCCTTCAACAAGATGACTAGAGGGCATGTGGAGAAGAAAAGCAAGCCAAGACTAGAAACTTGGACAATGCCGAAGGCAAAGGGACATAAAAAGGAGTCTGAAAAAGCCCATGTTGGAATAATCTGGAAGGCAGGAAAGAGCTGTGGACTCCAATAGAACAAATGGTCTTTAGATTATAATGTTTCAAACTCAATAACAATTGGCACTAAAGGTCTATTAGAAAGTATTCAATTTTAATTTTTCATACAGGAACTTTGATACACTTCCAAATTTGACAAACAAAGGTAAAACACAGAAGAAATCTCTTCAATCTGATCTGAATACACCATCCAAGATAGTCCATAAACTGTGTACTGTATGTGCTCAGGGCTGGGTGATGACAAGGAGGAACTGTTAACAGAATGTAGGAGCCACATGGCCGTCCTGTCAAATTAGAAATTTGAGCAGATTTCTGTGGTCTATTTTGATCAAGATTCTCAATGTCAAACAAACAGGTTTTTCGATAACCAACTTGTTTCATTTTTGTAAGCACAATAGCACAGCGTGCAACAGTTAGTGAAGAAGCAGGTGGTCCTCGTAGACGTGAAATGAAGGGAACAGAAGAAGAGAAGTAGCACTTCCTTTAAGACATGCAAAGCATCATCACAGACGGACATAGCTGTAGATTTTCCCTCTGAGAGCTTATCTCCTGTGCAAAACAGGCAAGCCCCCCACCTCCCACCCCATTTTGCTCTGGTACAAATTTAAGCTCTCTCCTGAGGAGGAAAAATCTCGGGGTTCATGTCTACAAATCAATGGCACTTACAAAAGCACATAAAAATCCTTTATAAGAACTGCTATCTAATTGGTACAGCCATGCAGAAAGCAATCTGGCATCAGATTCATAGCTTTGACCAAGCATTTCTACTTTAGGGGTTCTATGCTAAAGAAATAAGTCAAAATGCAGATAAAGCCTTATGCATAAAGATGTTCACTGAAATGCTATTTATAATAGTAAAAAATTATAAATAACATAAGTGTCCAACAATAATAGAAAAAATGGTTACGTTGTGGTATATCCAAACAGTGGAATGACAGGTAGCATATTAAAAATTATTATTACTGAGTGAATAAAAACGTGTAGAAATCCCCATGCCATATTATTGACATATAAAAACATAAAATTATATATATAACATATCAATTACATACATTTATACAAATTATGTAGCCACAGAATAAAGACAAAGAGAAAGAATAATAAAATGCTAAGAGAGGTTAAATTCAGAATAACGGTATTGTGGATAATTTTAATTTTCTTCTTTACACTTCTACATACTTTTTACACCATATTTTCTACAAGGAAAAATGTAATATTATTAGAGTGATTTAGAATAAAAATCATTTTGAAAAGCAAATCATTTCCCTTCCCTCATTCAAATGTTTGAAGAACTCTTTCCTCCTGCCCCTTCAAACTTCACGCCCTCACCCATGAAAACTGACAATCTCACGCAAAGTGGAAAAACGCTGGAAATAAGAGCCCAGTGGAAAGAGTCTAAGTGGAATGCTCAGCTCTGTGCACCCGGGAGGGACTGCACGTGAGGTGAGCATGCTACACATGCTCCCATGTGTAGAGCTGTGAATCCAGAGACTGTCTCTTTTCCACTGCCACGGAGCAAAACAAAACCACAAGTAGAGAGATCTAGGGAGGAAAGGAGCCAACTTACCTCCAATAAACTTAAATGGATTCCTATGAGGTAGGGCATGGGAGCGCTGTGAAGAGAAACAGAGACACACAGCTGCTTTAATGTCTGTTGCTTCCGACAGAAAATTACAGATGGTTCACTATTTGGAGAAAAACTGTTTTAATAAACGTATGCACAGTTACATTTCCTTTCACAACAAAAATCCTAATATGACATTTTGTTCCCAAGCCTAGAAATTTCAGCAGAATTTCAAAGCGCAGGCAGCACTGGAAGCGGCACCGGTGGCAGGAAGAGCATCAGTCTTGGCGTTAGTCCCTAAATAGCAGCTATGAAACTGCACAGCCTCAGGTGCCTTATCTTTAAAATGGGGTCTAGGAAGAGACCTGGCAGGGTGCTATCAGAATGAGAGAAAATATCCATTGAGTGATTAGTGCAGTTACTGGTACAAGTGGGAACTATTATTGCCATGATTACAACAGAAAAAGCAGTTAACAAGGTTGAATGGAGGGCACGACGTATGTCAAAGAAAAAGGATTTTTTACTTGCTGTTTCCTTCAGCCACCAAGAGATGTGATCGAACCGTCCATTCTCATTGCACAAAGTACATGGAGCATGGCCAGCAAGCATCTCCTCCCCATGTGTACACATGCCATCCGATGACACTACAATTCACAGAGCCCCTTCCAACTGCTTCATTCACATAGCACTGGATTGCTAAGTTAATGACTGAGCAGGAGATGAGAACCCAACTCCAAAGGTTTTAAAACCGGGGCGTTATAGATAGATCTCCTTTGGTTTCAGGAGTCTGTGTGCATGCGCATATGTGCACATATTTTATGTCTTATAATTTATGATGCTACTTACTAATGATGGACGTGCTAGGCATTATACGGGGAACTTCAAATTCATCTTTCCTAAGTCACACAGCAACCACACCAGGTAGGTGTTTTTCCCCATTTCACAGAGGAGGAAACAGGCCTAGAGAGCTTTAATCACTTATCCAATGCCACAAAACACAGTTAACTAGCAAACCTAGGATCTGACTCCCAAGTTTGTTCCTCTGTGCCACACTGACTTCCCTATCATCAGTACAGTAATACCGTACCTAAAATCCTGTAATACCGAACCTAAAATCCTCAGGCCTACCTCCCACACAATGTTTTCCTTGGGGGTGGAGGAGGGAGGTCAAAGAGTTGGGAGGAAGGCAGCGACTGGTAACTTTTCCCTGTGTCTCTCCGGTATGGGATACATCCTGTGAAAGGTGCAAAGGGAATTTCATGAGCCTAGAGGAAAGACATCTGGCTCAGACTGAGGTGACCAGGTACGTTTCCTCCAGGGCAGCGGTGGGGAGTGGAGATGGACCTACAAGGATGGCTTTCTTGGGGACAGGGTTGAGGAAACAAGGAGTGGTAAGAAATGAGAAAGGAGAGGTTTGCTCCCAAATGAAATAAGGAGTTTAGGCTTTATCCTGAAAGCAATGGATAGGCAAGGGAGGTTTTTAAACATCAGATGTGCATTTTAAAATTGCTCAAACATTTAAAAATAAGAAAGGGCACAATTTCCTCATTACCATTCAACAAATAAAATTCTTCAAGCAAAAATCCTTCCCCAGAATATGAAATGTCCTCCTTACTACAGATCTCAGGAGTAATGTACCTTGGGAGCCTGTAAAACAGACTTGAATATTAGCAGCACAGTTTGGGAACTATTCTTCTAGAAGACTATTGTATTTGATAATAGCCAAGAAAGAACTATTGACACAACTGCAGTGAAAGTGGAGTTGTCCTTTCTTGTCTTCTTCTTCTTCTTCTCTCCTTTTTAAAGAAGGTATCTGCTGTGCACATTCAGCGTCTCTTCGCTTCTTGGGGCAAGGAAATGCCCTACGATATTTTTTTCCCTTAAACTGTAAACCATTAGTTTAGCTGCCAGCTACGCAAATGCTCAAACTTCCCAGTGCGCCTGGCTCTGCTGTCCAAGCTTTTTCCAGTATACACTGAAATGAATGTGTTTCTAATTAAGTAGCTTCAGGAACATGACAGCTTCGATGTCAAAAATACAAAGTCTGAACCCAGGCAGGAAGTCTTAAGACTGCAAATGTCTCATCTAGTGGAACCTTGCCTAATGTAATGAAAGGAAGCAGGAAGAGTGCAGAATTCCAGAAAAATGGCCACTTAATAATGTGTCCAGAAGCACAGCCTAACACACAGAAGGGAGAAAAACTCAAATCCATAATATTTAACCAAATCTTATCAACTTTTCCAGCTCCTACATTCAATCATGAAATTGACCAATGACTCTGAGTTTTAATTAGAATTTCAGAACCAAAGTTTCAACAAATGAATTAATGTACAGAAAAAGACATTCAAACAACTGAGAAAAAGGTGAAAATAAATACCTATAGCAACAGCCTATGTATAATTTAACACAGGCTGTTACCTGAAAAATAAATATTTTCTAGAATTTTAAATATGTAGGTTTTAATGCCATGCCCTTTTGTCCTGCTATAAAAAAATCAAGGATACCTTGGAAGAGAGGAAAAAGGAGTCTCATAGAAGTGATCACAGATTCAAGAAGGCACAAAGTGGGACTCACTCTTCAGTTATCATTAGGTAGCCATTTTTTAAGCCAATGATTTTTCAAAAAGTAATTATGGCCTATCATAGAAATTAAGTTTCTTAGCCAAGTATTGTTAGTGTTGCAACAGCTCTGTATTTAGAAAATATTTAAAATACATTTATTCTGAAATCACAGCAGCTCCACATTTTGTATGAATGCAAATTTGGACAAATACCTTTTACATTGTCATCATATGCTTACAAAGCCTCAAATACTTCCCTGAATCTACTGCATTTTTGCTCTGCAAATATACTAATTACAAATTCCAAGTAGGAAGAGGGGAAAAAAAGAAACCCAGGATCTCTTTAACATCTCAATGTAGCAAATATGTAACTGGGTAATTCTAGGTGTTCTCTGAAAACAATTTCGCTTCTGAATATACCTCAACAGTTATTGTAGCTGTTGAATCGTTTTCTTTGAAAACCTCTTTTCTTTGGCTTTTTATTTTGTAAAGGGAAATTTTGAGGGGAAGAACATTCACTCATGATCACATCATCTTAACAAAACTACTTTTATTTTTGTATTATTCTCCTCTAATATTGGCCCACATGAACAAACATTTTTATATCTTTGAAATTATAGAGTGCATATATTTTACTGTTTTCTCACCGGCTACATTAACATTTCCCATATTATATATAATCTTTGTGATTATTATTTTAAAGACTATGTAATACTCCACCAAGTATGGAGGTACCATAATTTACTGAACCCCATTCCTAGAGTTAGACATTAAGTTGCTTCTAACTTTTCACTATGAGTAACATTGTAATGAAAATAAACAACTTCATGTGCATGAATTCCCAAACATGGAATTACTAAGTCAAAGGGCAGGACTGTTTTTTCACATCTTTCAGGATTGTAGCAAGGATTAGAGATAACCTATGAAGCACCTACCACAGGAGCAGCCCATGGTAGGCTCGGTAAGTGACTGTCATCATGTCCAAATGCATCTCCTCAAGCCCCTGGCATGGCTGGCACCTCTGGATCATTCTCTTATTCCCAAAGAATGGTTTCTTGTTCCTGCCTGGGTTCTGATGGATACCTGGCAAACCCTTGACGAGGACGGTTGAGACTCCATGATGAGTGTCAGGCACTTAACATGCATCATCTCTACACTTGGGTTTCTGACTCCAAGCACATTCTCGTGTCACCTGTCTACTTTCTGAGTTCAGTAGGGTTTCTTATCACTTTCCTCAGAAGGCAACCTTTACTCTTGATTTTGTGTACCACCAAGAATGCAAAAACTACCAAGAAAATTATGATTCACTACTTTCTTATCATTTAGGATGGCAAATTTTAAAAACCACTTATCACTCTTGGGCATACATTAAAAGGAAAATACAGCAAAATAAAGTGGTTACGCTATTCCTAAAAAGCTTCTTCACAAACGGAGTCCGACTCACGTGAATCATTGTCTGATTCAGAGTCATCAACGTCAAGGTATCCTGACATCAAGGGTGTCTCAGTAACAAAACATAATAAAACTTCATCTACTAGAAGCTATCTTCCTTTGTTAGATCCTAGAAGAACTTGTTTGTTGTTTTTCAAGAAAATATGAATGCAAACATGTGTTTCCCTAATAGCAAATGAACACCATGCTTCTCTGCTCTGGTCCCTTTCAGCATTCACAGTGACTTCACGTTTCAACGCTGAATCTGAGTGCGATTTTGAAGACATTTTAAACGGCAATTAGACTCTACACGTGCAGAACCAACAACGCACATAATTAAATTGAAGCTGTGATAATACTAACAGCTATGACAAAGTCCATGCATAGCCAGGCCGTGACAACTGTGTCACAACTGCCCTATGTCTGACAGCGATTGTGGGATGCCATTGTACATCTCTGAATGGAAGAACAGGATATATCTCTACTAGGCCTTTGTTCTCTGGGAATTACTGCACTGACTTCATCAGTTACATCCTGGAAGAGTAAAAGCTGTTCTTTCTTCCTTCTGCTCTGCAAAGCAAAGGGGTTCTGCTGCTGGTGTCAAAATAGTGACAACATAATGACCTTCACCTGAAAGGTATGTTTAGTTTGAATCCTATTAAGGGGAAAACGAACAAATATTTTTTGAGCTATTATAACCCAGCTGCTTTTAAGTATTACTTATACATAATTCTCAAGGCAACTCTGCAAGGTAGTGCTATTATCCACATTTTCAGAATGGGAAACAGACTCAGAAAGATAAAGTACCCTGCCCAAGGTCACACAGCTAGTAAACAGTGAAGCCATAATTCGAACTCAGTGCTATTGGACTGAGAGCCAGGCTGTGTCCACACTGTCCCACAGCGCTACTCAGTACTTGAACCAAGAGGAAAGGAGTGCTGGTATGCCAAGGAGGCTATTCACCCAGTCCTCTCACAAACTCTGGGCCTGTGATGCAGAGCACTTCTCTTACAGGTAAGTCCTGCAGCACGAGCTCATTCCTGGCAATGAACGGGCGT